AAACAATGAGTCGGTTAACGAAGTCGCACCAAGTCACATGTGACTTTGAACGACACCACGAAGCAAGCAAGCGAAGGCACTCACGGGAAGCTGTCGGGCAAAGGTGGAAATGTGTAAATCTCCTTCCAGTCCTGGTCAGTGATGCTGCCGCCGCGGTCGCCCCACCACAGCATCTCACCTGTTGTTAGACAGATGGAGTAAACGGGGATGCGTGGTCGATTGATCGGGCCACAGCAGACATTCGCTCATTGGGGACCGGATGAGGTAGATTTTGGCTTGTGTCTGCTCCTATTAACAACTGAATCGTCCATGCGCATGCGCGTGCGTACTTTGGTATAGTCAGAAACGGGGTATATGTGTTCGGCCCAGCGCGCGGGATGAAGGCACAGCGTATGTTGTCTTGCTTCCTTTCAGATGATCTATGATAATTGCCTGTCTTGACACAACGCAGTTAACTCACGCAAGTAATTGTTCTTCCTAACGCAGCATCTGGAACGGTCCTAATAAGCGCGCTTCGCGCCGTAACACCCAAAACAAGTGGAACCTAACGGTTGTATGTCAGTAGTGGGTTAAAGCATGCATATGCCCTTCGACATCACTCACCGCCTGGCAGGAGAGCGATGAAGGGGTACCTTTTGAGGGACGGGCGGGGTGGAAGGGGATGCAGTAAGTGTTGCGGTGGGATGCCTTCTGTCACGGCCGTAACTTAATTAATACTGCGATACTGAACTGTGATTATACTATTAGTATGATGATGTATAATTTATTAAAATTAATAGAATTAATATAATATATAACAATATATTATAAAACAAATATAATTCACCTAAACGATAAATAATACCGGTATTTGTAATTCGTGTATGCAAGGTTTCCTGTAAGTGGCCGCCACGCGCAAGAGTGATGGTGCGTGCCCGCCGCCCGCCCCCATTCAGCGACCCAGCCCCTCCGTCCCCTTCGTCTCACGTCGTTGTCCTGATCAACGTAAACGAGACGTACGGTATGTATGCTGGCCCGTGTGATAACCGTGTGTAAAATAGCCGCCATTTCAATCGATCGACATGTTACAAGGCGCAAAACATTCACCACACTAACTAGAACGAGGATCGATCGGCTAAGAAAGGTAGACACCACGCAGCCGTTCGCCAGTGGCACCATCAACGACAAATTGTGCAGGCAGCATGGGCGTAACCGCAGGTGACGCTGCGCCTGTCTTGACGCTACGAGTGCAACAAGGCCCCGACAAGCGAGGGTGCGGCGGGGCCGCCGCAAAGCTTCAGCTAGCAGGCCGCATGCACAATTCCACGTCACCGGACCGACGACAGGACGCCGCTCGCGCGGTGTCGTCTGTTCTCTTCTTTTGGTTATTTTTAACCCAGGGTCGCTTACCAGTTATACCAGGAAGCAGCCGCGAAACTCGGAGGCAGGGGCACGGGCAGGGGGGTATTGGCTGGCTTGGCGGGGTCCCACAGCTCAGCCACGGGGATCTTGGGACCCTTGTCCGCAAAAGCCGTGCCACCGACGATCAGAACCTGAGGAATCAACACCAAATTAATGGAGCCTTTTTCGTAGGGGCACTCCGTCTCCTCTAGCTAGTGGCTTGCGCGTTCCGTTCGCGGCATATCTTTTCTGGGTACATATGTAGGCGTGCGGCGACGGCGGGCCGACAGCATGATAGACGATAATCGTGCAACTATGCTGGTAAATTAACATTTATCCCTGTGCGTTTGTTAGCTGGGGTTTGTTTTCTCGCTCGCATTGGGCGTACGTACCTTGTTGTCGGCGGTGAGGCAGGGCGTCGGGTACCACCTGCGTGCGTGCGTGTGTGCGTGCGGACAGAAGGCAGCACGATTGATGCAGTGCGTGCGCCTGTCTTCGTTGATATTTTTTTAGATGACTCGCTTCGAACTGCTATCTACTGGCTGAGCAACAGTAAGCCAGCAAGCCATCGCACGGCTCAACATGGCGCGGTATCATCGCCGGCTCGGGCGACGGCGTCTGATTATAATGGAAAGCGCAGCGCGGTGCGTGCTATGCCGCCATCAGGACACAGCAAGAGGGTCAAGCAGGAGGGTCACCCGTACGTCCATCCAAGCAGAAGCCTCCCATCCGATGCAGGCAGGGTGCGTGTTCGTTGCAGCACAACGCGAGGGTATGTACACACGCACCTGGAAAAGGACATGTTGCCAACATTGCTGAGCTTCTTGTTCGACTCGCTGTACACCTGAGGATCGATCGATCGGTGATTAGGCGTACGTGACGGAGGGACAAACCGAACGGGCAGGGTGCGTAGCAGCAACACCGGTCGCCGACACATCCCGCCCCGCAATGGATTACGTGCGCAATCGCCTTTAATCGATATATTCACCATACTCGCACCCGATCGAGCGAGGTGGGCAGGCTTACCGAGATGGCCTTGCGCCCATCCACTTGCACTTTGGTCTTGACGTCCCAGCCACCAAACAGGGCGGTGTTGCCGTTGGGCAGGACGATGGGGCCGTTGCAGAACTGGTTGAACTTTGTGGTAAGAAAGTTCACCTGGTAGACAGGGACGGCATGGCATCGCAAGGTAGAGAATGAACTGATTGATCCCCTTAAGACTTCACCACGCACGCACGCACCATGGGCGGGTCGTGGGTATCTTAGATTGTCGGATGCCTATCGGAACATCGCTTGAATTGATTGCCAGGAACGGAGAATACCGTAAAGCCGGGTACTTTATTTGCATGTGCAGTCCCAGCCTCACCACAAGCGCCACTTATTACGGTGGCATGAATTGGAGGTTCGTTTATTTGAGTCTCCTCGCCTTATGCTTGCACGTGGATGGCACAGCCAGACGTAGGGCACACATGCATCTGCCATGCAGTGCAGGGCAGCATACGACGACCCTGTTTCGATAACAAAACCATGATGGCACGTGCAGCTGCTGCTGGCTCCACGCACGCCGACCGGTTCGCGGCCTCAGTATGGCTTAGCCAGGCCCAGCCATCCATCCACCCGCCGCCGGCCCTCCATGCATCTATCTACCTATTTATCCATACATGTGAACGCACGCACGCACCTGACGGCTGTCCAGATCGAAAGTGGCCGCAGATTTCGTCATGGTGTCATTCCAGGGGCGCCAGTATGCAAAGTACTTGCGGCTGCGGGGCCCCGCAGCGGGCACGTGCGTGAGTGCGATGCTGATGACGGGAGCATTGAAGGACAGGGTTTCATGGAACGCCGCGAGAGGTTTTGCTCCCGCCGCCGCCTGCTGCAGCCTCCTGCTGCTGCTGCTCGGGCCATCGCCAGCGCCTCCATATGGTCCAAGCGGAAGTTGCGACATCATCGTGATGACCTGCTAGGGGCGAGTGGCGGTGGCGGGCAGAGAGGACCGTATACGCACGGAGTAATTCTATGATCGATCGTGCGGTCTACCGGTTTCTCTGCACCCACGCAGCAGCAGCAGCAGCAGCGGCAGCAGCCACCTGTCAACAGATGACAGCAGACGCGTAGAAACACCTAGCTGCCGAAGCGCCAGATCCAGCCACACAAACGGGGCCGTCTGCAACGACACTATTCAAGAGCAACACCTGAGCCGCGCCTCCTTCCATTTACCTGGTTATCAGTCAGGCTGCTGCTGCTGCTGCTGCTGCTGTCGTCGCTGCCGAGTGGTGCTGCATCGCCGCCGTAGACGGGGACCGCGCCATTGCCGCCGTAGACGGGGACCGCGGCCGCCAGCATCGGCAGGGCAGCCAGCAGCAGCAGCAAGAATGCGCCGCGTGAAGCAGCTACATGGACAGTGGCTGGCGCCCGCCTGTCATTCTTGCGGCGCTGGTTTAAATGGAGCACCGCGTGCGACATCATCGCCGATGTGTTTGTTGGAGAACTCTCAACACGTATGTATTAAGTTGATGATCAATGGATGGAAATGATGCGTGAACGTATACGTTTTGTACGTTACCCGCCGCTGCTCGCGGCTGAACTCCACCTACGCTGCTTCCTCTTTATGAGATTATGCAGAATGCACAATGACGATGGAATACAGCGGCAGTGAGTAGGAACTTAAGAAGGCCGCTGGCGGGGCCCGACGACGGGGCAAGGCTTCCGGCAGCCCAGGTGAAGCGGGCGTACGTTTGAGAGCGAGGCGGTACCGGCACGCGGGTCGCTCGTGCCAAGGGCGGCGGGGCCTCAGCGACCGTGTCAGCCGGGAGCTGCCTGGAAGACACGTCTAAACACACCTTGTGCTTCTTGCACCGATCATCAGCTGTAACGTAAGCGCTTACCTAATGGAACAAATGTCACTTTCGTAAATCAAATTCGTTTTCGGGCGGTAGATTGTATCGGATGGAGAAACAGGGCGTGCGTCGTCGGCATTTCCAAGAATGAACTAACTGCAGGTACGGCCGGACGCGCCCGCGAACAGCAGCGCCTCTCCGGGCCGTCCTCATGTAGGTGACACACCGATTGGTATTGGCACATGTAGTACTTCGACTTTATTCGACATGCAATAACGTATATCATTGTCGAAGGATGTATATGCACATCGATTGGCTTGAAGGGTAAGCGTGAATGTGGGCAGATCCACGGCGCCGACGGTGCACCCTTGTTAGTCAGTCCCACTATTTGCCTTGGAGCGCAAACCAAAGACCTCGCCGCTCAGTACAGAGATGATATCGGCGCGACCTTCTCGAAGGTTTCGCTCGGCTTCGGTCTTGCATGGTGTGCATGCAGTGGAAGCGATTTAATGGATCGTTCATATCGTGGTGAAAACCGCCCATCCCATCAGCACTGGGCACGTAAGCACCATTGGGCCAGATCATAAGTTCGGTGGGGGACCACGCCGGTAACCGTTAGCGGTTGAGGATTGGGCGTGTCGTACGACAAATCCAAACTCAGTCGTGAGTCGTACATTCATGTACGACTGGCGTCGGTCTCAACTGATTCCATTCTCGACAGTCCAGCAGGTGTGGGAAGTTATTGGGGTCGCTTGCTACAGGAGCATCATTAAGGTAAGATATGGGTCTCTATCTCAGTGGTAGAGCAGCTGACTGCAGATCAGCAGGACTCCGGTTCGATCCCGGAGGGGCCCTACTTACTCTCTGCATACATTATTCCACCGTGTCTCGGCACGGTTTGCCGTGTCGTACAGTACGACGAGGTCAGCGATGATTTTGACGTACGGCACGGCATCAAGTCAAGGCAGTAGGCCGCCGGCCCCGCGGACACCCGACCAGACTACATGGCCGGCACACGCCTGCCCAAATGGCTGATCCCGAATATCGCGGATGAGAAACGCCTCAAACTGCGGCCCGATATACTCCTTATACCGGACATCCCCCTCCATGAAACGCAAGCGCAAGGGTACATGGTAACATGGGGACCCCAGGACCCCAGCCAGCACACCGTACACATTGTTGAGGTCGGCTACACCACCGACACCAACCACACACAGAAACAGCACGACAAGCAAGGCCATACAACACGCAGAACTGGCCGAACTCCTCACGGAAGCCGGATGGAAGGTCCGCTACACAACACGGAAGCCATCAGCCTTGGCTTTGCGGGCACTATCAGGAAGGACCTACGCCCTCTACTCCACACCCTAGGCACGGGCAGCAAGGAAGCCCGAGCATGCTGCAACGACCTTCACGACCATGCAGTTAGGACACTCAACACTATCGTTGAAACCCGCCGCATGCAAAAGGAACGCAACCCCCATGCGGAACCGACACCGGCCGGCACGTAACCAACGTGGGACAAGTCTAAAGTTCCTTGCGGTGGTGGGGGCGGCTGGGACCGGGGAAACCCGCCACCCCACCCCCTCTGCTCCCATAACCCACGCCTCGGCTACCGGCCGGGCGTACCATTATTATTATTATGGAGGAGCTTCGCAGGGGCGGATTCGTCTGTGATCGTTCGGGATCGTGATGAAAGCGGATTGATGAGAATCCTCTCGGCAGGCATTGCACTGTTTGCTGTTACGAGCTGCACTGCGCCTGCAGCTGGCTGATTGGGACACATGCGTCATCAGCACCGTGCTTTGTCAATAGCGGCTGCGTGGCTTACCGTACATGGTTTGGTACCCTGGGCATTGTATGGGCCTGGTTGCCTCTAACAAGGATTTGCATACTTCAGCTCGCGTTAGGTTGGGTTACAAGGACGTCCACCCTCCCTGCGAAGACCCGCCAAAGGGCAATGCCAAGCCCATTAGCTTTCCTATAATACCTACCCACCAAGGGTGTACGAATCGCCACACACGACGCCATCATGCTCTATCCATCGACGTTTTCGAGGTTTGCCTTTGGGAAAATCTACGCGGTAAGCACGGGGGCCGACACAGGTGCCGGTATGTGGGATCGTGATCCGTCCGCTGGGCCCAACCGCGGCTGCGCAGCCATTCGCGCGCTGCACGCAGTTCGCGCCGCATACCAAAGGAAGGGTCTGTAACGCACGTCCGCCTGACCGTGAGGCCAGTACAACGTCTCATCACGTGCTGAGCTAAGTTCCGAAAGCCACAGTGCTCATCCGTTTACTACCATACAGGTAGGACTGGTCATTTGTTTACTACCGCGCGCACCAGTCCCAGACGGCATCGTAGCCCAGCTGCGCACCCGTGCGGTGAGAGTTGCGCAGCTCAAGGGTGCGCACCCTAAAGCCCTCAGCGGTTGTTGTCCCGCAGCGTCGCGCCGCCTGCCCGCCCCCGACCCGCTGCCGTGCCGGCCTTGCCGCCGGCCGCCATATTCTCCCGCCCCGCGCGACCTCCCGCCGCTGCCGCGGCGCGGCCAGTCTCGGTGACCGTGCGTGTGACTGTGGACACGCCCTCCACGAACTTGGTGCGGAAGAGCACGTTGGCGTTGGCGAACATGCCCTCCTTGAGGGACACGACGATGAACTGGCTCTCGGGGAAGTTCTCGCGGATCATGCGGCCGATGTTCTGCGTGTGGTTGAGGTCCAGCGCAGCGTCCACCTCGTCCAGGATGTAGATGGGAGCCGGCTTGAACCTGGAAAACGGAGTGGGAGAACAGTGAGGGAAACACCGCAGCGGGGGGTATCCACGTATAGGCCGGCACGTATAGGCGGGGGGGGGGGAGACGGAGACGACGTTTATGAACGGATCTCAAACCCAGCAATACTTGCCGGACGCACCTGTCGACTTCTATCAAGATTGGAAACGCGGCGACCGCGTCGCCGCCGGACCAACCCAGACGGACGTATACGCCCGACAGCACAACAGCTGCGCGATCGCTCAGACGACACAACCCGACAAAAGTGGGGCGCCGGAAAAGTCTAGATTGGTTTAAGGTGGTGGTTGCGAGGCGGCAGTCTTGGGCTGTGTGAGGCGGCCGGTTGAGGCTTTTTTTGTGTCTCCTGCTTTGTCATGGGCCACATGCCAGTACTATCCATTTGTCCCTTCCGCACCTAGACACCCCAGCCTTAAGCACAATGGAACGTATCTGCACAACTGCCGCCGGCCTTCTCCCATCCCAGTTGCTAAACCCTGCCCGGCCAAGCCACTGCGAGCATCCTGCCGTTGGCGGCCCTCGCACCTGCAGAGCGCCAGGATCAGCGACAGCGCCAGCAGGGACCGCTGCCCTCCCGACAGCTCAGTCAGAGACTCCTTCCACACGCTGCCGAACGCCACGCGCACCTCCAGGCCTGCATAGCCAAGGCCACGGGCATCGGCCAATCGAAAAAACATGGGGCCGGTGAGAGTTGCGACTGGATCGGCGAGGCCTGGTGGTGCTTTCTCAACAATTGCACGTAACAGTGCCATCCGTAAGATCTTCGGTGGCTGCTTTGTTTGTAGATAGGACTGAGATAGGACTGAGGCAATACAATCCTCAGGTTGCGCGAATTTCAGTTCGCACGAAGTGGGTCACGTACAAAATCAGTATCGGTCGCCACCGTTGGCCAGGGCACAAAACACGTACCTTCCATGTATGAGCCCCCCTCCGGCGGCTCCAATTTCGCGGAAGTCCCCGGTAGAAGCGTGGAGAAGATCTGCCCGAACCACTCGTTCACCTGCTTCCACACGTCCTTCAGGGCGGCGCGGCTCTGGTCATCCAGTTCAGCGATGACCTATGCGCGGCAGCAGAAGGATTAGAGCGGCTTCAGCGATGGACGAGCTGTCTCCCTGTTTCGTGGGCCAGGCCGATCATCACAACAACTGGCTACACAACCCCGACCCGGCGCGCGGCCGGCGGTCAGGGGATCCCACCTGCTCGAGCTTCTTCTTGTCGCTCTCGACCACCGAGCGCTTCCCGCACAGGGCCGTGTAGTCCTCCTCGTTCTTCTGCAGCTTTGACACCACCTGCGTCCGGAAGTGTAGCGACGACAAGGGACGACAAGATGTGGCCCGAAGCACGGGACCCAGCTCTTGTAATATGACCTGGGATCGATTGAGCCCGTAAGCAGGGGTATTCGATGTGCAGCTGTACTTCGTCACCACGTCAGTCAGCAATCCCGCACGGCTCTCGAGGGCCAAACTAGGCCCATGCCACCAGCCCTTTTGCTCACCGACGCCTGGACCTTGCCCTGCAGGGCTGCGCAGCGCTCCTGGAGGTTTTCGAACTCCTTGCGCATGGCGCTGATGTCGATGCCGTCAAACTTGTAGTCTCCCGTCCCGAAGTGGCGCTTCTCCGTGGCGATCCAGGGGTGCTCCGTCTCCGTGCGTGCGAGCCACTCCTTGGACTTGACCATCTGCTCGCGCTTGGACTTGATCCTGCGGGTAAGCAGGCAGCCCATGCGTGTTTTCCCCGACGACCCGCTTGCTCCGCCGGAACTAAAACAAGTAATGGGTCAGCCATATGATTATGCCCGTGCTGTAGGAGCGTCATTGCACGCCGCTGTGGCGGGGCCATGGGCGGCGCCTATCTTCACGTCACCGCCAGTTTGGCTGAACCGACAGACCAAAGGGCAGGGCGACTACATGGTGCAAACTGCCTACAGTCCGTTGGCGAAAGCTCTCGTGATCCGAACGTAACGGCTCAAAGCTCCAGGGGACAAGCCTTCATGGGCACCTTTTGCTGTCACAGCGCGGCGCTCAGTGAACCCTGCCCCGCATGCAACCAGAGCCCCCGGTCTCTAAAGCCACCCTTGGCGCTTTCTAAGATCCTAACGCTTGCCCCGTTCCAACAACATTCCCAACGCACTTGGCATCGGTCTTCTTGATGTCCGCGTCGCACTCGGACATTTTCTTGGCCGCCGCCTCCCGGCTAACCTCGAGGGCCTTGATCTCGCCGTCGCACTCAGAGAGGCGCACCTGCGCAGCCAGAGCGCCCCCGGGAGGTGCGCGTACATGAAAACAAGGATGGACAGCACCATGGCCGCGCTAAACCTATACACGTTCCAAGGCACAAAGGCATACAGTTACTCAATGGCCGTGTTTGCAGGGTATGGACGGTCGCGCGCATTATAAGGCACTGAGTGTTGGGCGTGGGACCATTCCAAGGACAGTTGTTCGCGGGCGCGGCGCGTCATACCTGCATTTCTTCGAGCCTTTTGGCGGCGGCCGTGACGGCCTCCTTGGCGTCAGCCACTGACTTGGAGAGCTCGGCCACCTCCGCCTCAGCGCCTACGTGGCACACAAGCAGGCCCCGCAACACTCAGCCATGGCTGCCCGATGTATGCTGGCCCAAGTAAGCCGGCTACAACTGTTGTATCCTGGATGTATCATGAAAGTTGTCCTGGTCAGACAACCCCGGCTGGGTACCTCTTTCTGATATGTCATGGTACAACAACAACCCAGTCATATGTCGCGCTTTCATCCATGCCGCAAGGCTAGAGACATCCGGATCAAGGCTAGATATCGTGTCCACCATTCAGGTCGCAGCCTACCCGCGGAGGACTGCTGCGCCTCCTGGATCTGCTTTTGCACCGACTCCTTCTCGCCGCCGGCGGCGTCGCGCTCCTGCTGGGCCCTCGCAAAAGCCGCCTCGGCGGCGCGCAGGGCCTTGCGGGCGGCCTCCACTGCAGCCTTGGCCTTCTTGAGCTTGTCCTGAGCTGCCTTGATGCGCGCCCCACGGTCCTTGTCGAAATCGCGGATCTCGCGCTCCAGGGACTGCATGGCGGACGGAGGATGGGCTGTCAT